GACATTTCAGAATGTTTGGATTCATCCAAAGCTTCTTTAGTACAATGAGTACAAATCTTTCTTTTGTAGCTATCTGGCATGGGTTGGCAACAAGAGGCACAGATTAAATGCTTTGATTTAGACGTGCATTTCCCTTTCTCTGAAGGTCTCTCCGTAGCCTCAGGATTAGACATACTGGAGTAAAGAGAAAAAAAAAATCTAAATAATAAAAAATTCAAAAAATAGGGTGGAATGCAGCGCAACCTGTACGTGCGTTCCACCGCCAAGACCTTCCAGCTTGTGCACACATGCGCACCTTCGCCTTACCCAGCACGGTATGGGTGGAATATATAAGTATTGGTGGAACACAGGCACCCGGCATGCATTCTACCTGTCTAAGCCTTCTGCAAGCTCACCCACTGCCCATTCTAATGGGTAGCAACCGAAGAAGAGCCTCCCGAGCCACAGCTCCCTCACCTTGCTTCTGCCTAGAACAGGGATAAGACTGCCTTTTTTCCCCTCCAAATTAGAAATCCCTGCTATTATGCACTGCCTCTAATCTGCTGGGAAAAACAGGTTTATGTTCCTGACCCTAGAGTGTTCCTTTAAATCATGATCATAATGTATCATGTGTTCATATGAGATTGTATTTACCTAATTTTAAGACCTGCTAAGGTACTGATTGTTGTGTCCTGATATGTAAAACCAGAGAATTCAAACAGTGTGTACTTTCTTTTTCCTAAGACTATATCTGTATTCTATGGTATGAGCTATTCCCTATGCAACTCTATACTGAGCAGCCACAAATTAAAACCACCTGCCTACCGTGTAGGTCCCCCTTGAACTGCCAAAACACTGGACTCACAAAGACCTCTAAACGTGTCCTGTGGTATCTGGCGCCAAGACATTAGCAGCAGATCCTTCTGTGCATTATCCTGCTGAGTGCATTATCCTTTGCCATGAGGTGATGTATGTGGTTTTCAACAACTTCTAGGTGGGTGGCACACGTAAAAGTAACATCTATGCAGCCCCATACTCGGCAAACTATGATGCACCGTGTGTTCTGACACCTTGCCATAAGGACCAGCACTACGTTTTTCAGCAATCTGAGCTACAGTAGCTCTTCTGTGTGATGGGATCCAACAGGCTAGGTGACCCTGACACAGGTTTACCAGCTATCCTTCCTTGCACTACTTTTGGTAGGTACTAACCACAGCACATCATGAACACCCTACAAGACTTGCCATTTTGGAGATGTTCTGACCCAGTCATCTAACCTTCACTATTTGGCCCTAGTGAAAGTCACTGAGATCTTCTTGCACATTTTCCAGTTTCCAACATGTGGTATTCAAGAATGAACTGTTCACATGCATCCCAATATATCCCACCCCTTGACAGATGCCATTGTAACAACATAATCAGTGTTATTCACTTAACCAGTCAGTGGCTTTAATGTCTGTTCAGTGTATTTGCACATTCCTTCTGTTTCCAGTTTTGTCCTGCCACAACTGTTGTGTATTAATCTATTTGCAACATGGTGAAACACTCTGCAGCTATGACAGTTATTGGAGACATCTCTGGTAAGAAAAATATGGTGGTATTCTGTTTAAAATTTGCTATAAAGAAAAGCAGCCATTTTTACAGTCCTCTACTTTAGAAATGCATACTACTAGAGATAAAAATTTAAACCTCAAATAGTTCTGGATGTGTTTTATATACACACTTGAAAAGATTTACCAGTTTCAAAGAGAATCTTTTTTGGTCACCATAAATAGTAGCAATGTTGACAGAAACTATCCTCATCCAGCCAATTCCAAAAAAGTATATATTTTTTATATGTCCTATTAATTTAACATATGATCAATTTAGCATTTTGTTCAAACCCAATCGATATTGTCAAGGTGACAGTAATGACAGCAATAAAGAATTACAATCAAATAATGAAGTATAAAATGATCCAAAGTGATTGTCACATAATACCTTGTGGATAAAAATAAATATTAAGAAATAGAATATCTAGAGTATCATATATTATTTAAAAGGAGAAATAGGGGAATAAACAAAAGTTTAAAGCAGCCTCAATTGCCAAGGGCGCCTGCAGAAATGCAGTCCGAAACAATGCCAGTCTGCTCATTTTCATGTCAATCTGGGAATTATGGGAGTTTTGGAAACACTGTTTTATTTATTTTAGGCCTAAGGAGAACTTCTCAAAGTCCAACTTGAGATATGCAGGTAATGCATAACAGTAATTTTTCTATTTGCACTGTGGAGAGTTTTGTTTAGTTTCGGTCTAAACATTGCTACTTTTTGGGTGCCCCCCAAAAAAATAGTACACATGCAGTAGTACTAGAAAAGTGTCAGATCCAGTTTAACACAGAATCTGAAAAGGTTTGGTAGTTTAAAGTTTAGCCTCTAGAAACATGCAGTTCTAGAATGGGGAAGGGGGGGCTGCGAAAATCTGTATTAAAAGGAACACTATAGTCACCTAAATAAAGCAATTTTAGTGTATAGATCATTTCCTCTGCAATTTCACTGCTCAATTCACTGTCATTTAGGAGTTCAATCACTTTGTTTCTGCAGCCCTGGCCACACCTCCCCTGGCTATGATGGACAGCCTGCATGAAAAAAAAACTGGTTTCACTTTCAAACAGATTTAATTTACCTTAAATAATTGTATCTCAATCTCTAAATTGAACTTTAATCACATACAGGAGGCTCTTGCAGGGTCTAGCAAGCTATTAACATAGCAGGGGAGAAGAAAATCTTAAACAGAACTTGCAATAAAGAAAGCCTAAATAAGGCTCTCTTTACAGGAAGTGTTTATGGAGGGCTGTGCAAGTCACATGCAGGGAGGTGTGACTAGGGTTCATAAACAAAGCGATTTAACGCCTAAATGGTATAGGATTGAGCAGTGATGCTGCAGGGGCATGTTCTATACACCAAAACTGCTTCATTAAGCTAAAGTTGTTCAGGTGACTATAGTGTCCCTTTAAGATATCACTGCATTACTCTCCAAAGCCCTAAACTAGACATCTGCTGTGCTGGATGTATTCTCTACTTCTAGAACCCTCCCACAGGGCACCTATCTAGTAGTACTGTATTACAGACCGTGTGCAATATAGAAAGCAGATACTTTCAGTGATTGGATTCCACAAGAAAACCAAGTAAAGGCAGAAAACTCCACCATAATGCAGCGTAGTGGTTATTGTCAGGAGCACCTATTGTAAGTAGTGAAAAGGTTTTAGAACAGTTTTGACTTCTTAACTTGAGCCCGCCAGGCAGGGAGACTTTGCTGTAGTGGGCATGCTTGGAGTGTACATTTAAATGCACCAGGGAAAAGATGCAATCTCATGATAGATCTAGGAATTGGCAGGCACTTACAAACCTTTGCTAAATTGAAACAAATTGCTAACCCACAGGAGAGCAGCACAATAAAATAAAAAGAGGCATACATGTAGGTTTAATATTCACAAGGTGTCTCCCAGCAGCTCAGCTCGCACTATGTACTAAGAGGCAGAGGCCAGTCCAGGAACACATGTGGAAAGGGAAGTGTAGCTAAGGAGGCCCAGTTTAATTTGCAAGATATTTTATTCCCATATATTAAATTTTTCTAAAAGGGAGAACTATATATCAGGACTATGATAAAATCAGACAAGCTAAGTTTTATTGTTTGTGCAAGTGTGCAAAAGGAAACTGAATATATTAGCAACTGAAACATGGGGTATAAGTTACATGATGTCATACATATGTCCTGATATAGATTTAAATATTAAACTGAATATTGTATTTTTTAGATTTTAGATTTTAAAAAAGTTATCTATAGATTAAATTGCTTCTATATGAATCAAACTAAATTCTGACATTTAAAAAAAAAAAAAAAATTATATATATATTCAATACAATGTTCAACAAAGCTCTGCACACCAGTCAAGCAATAAGACTTGCTTTTCCCACAGAAATTTTTTCTTAACAGAATGTTCACATATATATGCGCAATTTAAATATTAGTTTAGCAGGAGAGCTAAGAAAACAAACCAAGTGTATACTTTAAACCCACCAAAAGTAGAGACGACAGCCCCAACCTTTTGGCTTGATGCCTTTCTCTAGGGGGATCTTTGTCAGTGTACATTCGGTAATAATGGTGGATTTAACCCATTAGGAACTGAAGAAATTGTACAATTTCGGATCAAAATGACCCCTGGAATTTGAGGTATAGATTTGTTCAACCGAAAGTGTACCTCTTTCATATTAAGTGCACCCAAATGGATTATATATATATCCTTTTGTTCAGGAGAAACCGGGCTTTCGTTTTACAAATATTTCTATATGAAACATAACTGAACACTAAAAAGTGAGACTAAGACAATTGTTATTTTCTTAGTTCTGCATAGAATTTTAACTGTGATGGTCATAATACTGTAGTGATGTCTCAGAAGTACAACAGTACCCCCCACATCCCCCATGTACAGGTTTTTTGTTTTGTTTTTTAAAAACTTAGAGGGGGAGATGGATTATTTGTATTCCTTACAGTTTAGAATCCCTTTAAGAGGCTATGGTTTATACTTAGTTGCAAATACTTCTATATTGTATATTTGAATAGGTCATCTGTTAAAATGGTGTTATTGCACTTATGATATGCACTTTAATATTACATTGCTTTTTTGTATAATATCATTGGTGTGCTATTTGACTTTTACTGTGTACTTGCTATCTTAAATAGGTAACAGCAATTTCCATTTAGCACCTAAGAAATTATCTGCAGTTATCATGAAACTCCTGCAGCTGAACGCTGCCTACACTAATTACTTTAATTGCATTTATAGTCAAACAGCTCTACAACAGTTTGTCAAAAATACAAAAGCCATGAGACAGGAACACCTAACACACTTATAGCACAATCACCACTAGAATGAGCTGTAATTGTAACTTTGTAAGTTTCTGCCAAACAATATTTAAACTATGTGAGTTTTGCCATCAGAACAAATAGAAATCTCTTTAAAACAAAGTAATTAGCAATGGTCTTTTTTTTTTGTAAATTTTATTTACATATCTTCAAAATATTTAGATGTTAAAAATACTTAAATTTTTTGTAGGGAACAAAATTGCAAAGAAAGAAAAAAGGTTGTGTGGAAGACACTTTAAAATCTCAAAGGTTTAAGTGTCACTTGAGAAGTGTATGCTGAATCCTCTCAACATTACCAGAAAATATATATATAAGGATTCGTGTGAAATACTTGTTAAGATGTAAAACCATCTTCAATTTTCCAATACTATAGCCTGCCTAATTGTTTTATACTGAAAGTAAAGTTTTCAGAGGATGAGAAAAAAAAAACAAAAAAAACAAAAAAAAAAAACACATGGAAATAGTTCTCAGTGTATGGTGTAGGCCTCTCCTAAATGAGGATTATGAGGCTATGACTAACCCATATATATCATCTTGATACAGGAAATCCATTTTATTGCCAGAAAATAAAAAAAGGTAGGCATAGGGGAAAGAGGCAGGGAGTGAGGTGCAAGAATCCTGAAAATGATAACACATAAGCCGCATATCCACGCTATAGAAGTCAGGACACAGTTTCTTCTGTTGCACCACTCAACCACAGATGCAATGCATAATTTGCTTTTCTTAGTCTCCATCTGTTGACTTGAAATGGTCATCATCCACTGTGGAATAAATATGTCCCTCGTTGCTAAGGAACTCTAATGCTTGTCTGAGGGCAAATAGCAAGAATAAGTAGAATGTTACTTCATGTAATAGGATCTTAATTATTGGCCATATTTTAAAATTAAATCTTTACAATTTAGTTCAACTACCATTCACAAATCTAGCAGGTACATATAAAATAGGCCTTGTGTAGATTAAATCCTAAAAAATGTATACATTCAAAGATAAGAACTATATGGCCAGAAGTATAGACAGACACCTGACAGTCTTTATGAGATATTAGACAAGCAATTCCAAACCATGGTCATTAATATAAAGTTGGTACCCTGCTTGCACATATACAGTTACCACTCTTTAACCCCACAAGGACGTAGGCAGTTGTAGCGCAAATTCCAGGTTTTGTTTTGATCTAAACTTGTACATGTTGTTCAACCATAATTCACCCACTTATATATCATTTTGTTCAGGAGAAACAGGACTTTAATTTCACATCAAATATTTATATATTAAACATAATTTAATATGAAAAAAATATGAAACAAAATGTGAGAAATTAATTTTTTTTAATTTTAGCATGGCATTTTAAACGTGAATGTCATAATACGGTTAGACGTTACTGCAATAAAGTACACATTTGTATTCAGCGATGTCTCCAGAGTACAAAAGTACAGGTTTTAATGGTAAGTTACAGGGTCAAATATAGCACATCACATTTTTCAGTTAATACACATTGAAATTTGCCTGACTGGTCATGTTGCCTTTGAAACCGTCCGGTAGCCCAGGAATGAAAATTACCCCCATGATAGCATACCATTTGCAAAAGTAGACAACCCAATGTATTACAAATGGGGTATGCCCAGTTTTTTTTGTAGCCACTTGGTCAAAAAAAAAAAAAAAAAGCCAAAATTAGCATTAAAATTTGTTTTCTGCATTTTTCACACAAAAAAATATGAACGCTAATTTTGGCCAGTGTTTGTGGCCAAGTGGTCGCAAAAAAAAAAAAAAAATGACTGGACATACCCCATTTGCAATACCGTGGGCTGTCTACTTTTGCAAATGGTATGCATGGTAATTCTCATTCTGTGCTACCAATCAGTCTCAAAGGCAACATAACTAATCTGGCAAATTTCAATGTAGGGAAAAAAGGAAATGCAAGCCTTATATTTGACTAACTTTTGAAAACAGCAAAAAACCTGTACATCAAGCTAGTCAAACTTGCGGCCCACAATGAATATTTGCGGCCTACCTGCCTTGGGGCCGATATTTCCTGTCTGATTCTTGTCTTCCCTCCCACGTCTGCAAGAGGGCAGAGTGGCTGTGTCTGCAGAACAGGCCAACCACTCAGCCTTTCCTCCTACTCACAGTGCCAGAGGAAGAGCAGAGCTGGAACTGGAGCACGGCTCATCTTAAGTTAGGGGAAGAGGGTTTGGGCAACGGGGCCAGTGTATTAAACTGAGGGAGGCACTATATTAATGTGGCAGAGGGAGCAGGCACTATATTAATTTGGGAGAGGGAGGGGTTGCTGTATTAATTTGGGGGAGGGAGTGGGACTGTGTATTAGAATGGTAATTGGGGGAGTTGGGGAAGTGTATTAGATTAAGGGGCAGTATATTTGATTGGGTTTGGGGGCAGTGAATTAGAATGGGGGAGGGGGCAGTGTATTAGTTTGGGTCTGCATGGAGGCGCTGAACGCTCCCCTTGGAGATGCTGATTGGCCGCGCAACGGTTTGCCACATATTCACAATAGTTTACCAATGCTTTCCTATGGGAAAGCATTGGATTTGGCCAAGATCATCAAGTTTAATGATCTCCGCCAAAGTGAAGAACACACTTGTGTTATTTGTTTCATTAGAGCTGTGAAACCGCATATATTCACCATTTTAGTCCCATTACCAAACTGCTCTTAATATGTCATGGTAGTTGGGCTGAAACATTGGTTACATGCAAATACACGTGTCCTTAGAATAAATTTGCTCTTTTGTTTACTGTAAAGCCCTACGAGTGTAAGGACATCAAGTGTCAGGCAACATTTTTATCCTGTACTTTTCAAAATTTTCTATGAAAACTGACGTTTTTGTATTTGTGGCCCACAAACTTAAACCTGGTTTATTTGGCCCGTGTTAGCCTTTGAGTTTGACATGCTTGCTGTACATGGTGGGTACTGTTATACTCCGGAGGCTTCGCTGAACACAAATAGTGTTTCAAAACCGTAAAACGTATCACAACAATTGTCAGTGAAAGTGCCCCGTTTGTGTGTGAAAAATGCAACACTTTAGTTTCATTATCGTTTGATAAGTTTTACAGTTTTGAAACACTAATATTTGTGTTCAGCGATCGATCTACATATCTTCAATCTAAACGCATTTTGACTTTTATATGCATTAATATCAAAATACAGTTTAAACGAATTTAAACAGGTATACAATCTCTTTCGTTTCTCAATTTGATTAATATATATTTATTACACTTTTAATAATGATGTATGTACATATAAAAGTACTTGGATAATACATACATATGATCCAAGTACTTTTTTTAAATTTATAAACGGTTTTAAAACTTTTACATAACCCCTTAAGGACCGGCCTGTTTTTGCGATGTTGTACGTTAAGGACCAGAGCAGTTTTGACACTTTTGTGGTGTTTGTGTTTAGCTGTAATTTTCCTCTCTCACATTTATGGTTCCCATCCAAGTTATATATTGTTTTTTTCAGGACAAGAAGGGCTTTCTTTACATACCATTATTTGTATCATGTCATATATTTTATTTTAAAAATAATAATAAAATATGGTGAAAAAACAAAAAAATGTTGTTGGACTTTTTTTTTATTCTTTATTTTTGGCAAGTCTGTGAGTTACAAGGTACTTTTTTAGAAGCAAATACGTATTGCGTATAACAGAAAGGTAAGTACAAACATTGTTAGTTTCACATATGTTTTTGGACTTTTACTTATCTACAAAAGCTAATGAAAAAAAACTGCTAAATAGATTCAAAAATTTTGTCCTGAGTTTAAATGCTTTATTGCTTTTTTTGTGTGCAAGTTATAGGCCTATACATACAAGTCGGAAATTGCGTGGTGGGTGGTGTGTGGTGTGGTGTGGTGTGGTGTGGTGTGGTGTGGTGGGTGTGTGTGTGTGTGTATTTTTTACATTTATCAACAGTGACATTGTAACACCGTTATCTGTCATAAATCCCTGAATAACACCTCACATGTACATTTTTATTTTTTTTTTTAAAGTAGACAACCCAGGGTATTTAATATGGGGTATGTCAAGTCATTTTTAGTAGCCACCTAGTGACAAACACTGGCCAAAATTAGCATTTCTATTTGTTTGTGTGTTAAAAATGAAAAAACCGCTAACTTTGGCCAGTGTTTGTGACTAAGTGGCTACTAAAAAAGGCTGAACATACCCCATTTGCAATACCTTGGGTTGTCTTCTTTTGCAAATGGTATGCCATCATGGGGCTAATTCTCATTCCTGGGCTACCATACGCTCTCAAAGGCAACCTAACCAATCTGACAAAATGTAACTTTCCAGCCAGCCTCCCTGCCCTATCCTTTACTTCCTTTGAAGTTCACACTGTCCACATATTTAAGTCCACTCCTTTAAGAAATGCCATCATCTACCGCCCTCCCGTCATCCTAGGCTATTCATTGAACACTTTTCTTCCTGGCTACTCCATTTTCTTTCCTCTAGCACTCATTCCCTCATACTTGGGAACTTTAACATCCCAATAAACAACCTAAACTGCCCTGATGCCTCCCGTCTGCAACCTCCTCCTTCGGCCTCTCACAGTAGTCTACTTCAGCAACTCATACAGCAGGAAACACTTGACCTGATCTTCACCAATCTCTGTACTACCTCTAATCTCTCCACTTTTCCATTTCCTTTATCTGACCACCATCTGCTGACCTTTTACATCAGCATACCCCCATTTCACCATCCTCAACTCTCCAATCTCGCAGAAACCTCCACTGTCTTGATCTCCAAAATTTCTCCAAACTCCAAATTTTTACCCATCTCAAATCTCACTTGCCTCTTATCTAGACATCATTGCACCCCTACATTTAAACGCAGCAAGCAGTATAAATTTATGCTGCGCTCCTACACTCTGGCTCTTTCGTCTGCAAAAGTAAATTACTTCAACACCTTCATAAGCACACTGCCTGCCAACCAAAATGCCTCTTTCACACTCCTAATGCTTACTTCACCATGTTGCTCCCCCTCCTACCACCCTGTCCGCATCAAACTTTGCAACTCACTTCAACGAGGAGATTTCTACAACCAGGGAAGATATCTCTAACCTCTCTCCCTCCCCTTCCAATACATCACCCAACAACACTCACTCCACTGTTCTTTGCTCATTCGCATCTACAATGGAAGAGGTTTCTGCTCTACTCCGGTCCTCCCGCCCCACCACCTGTTCCCTCTTCTCTCACCCGCACTTTGTCTCCCTCTCACTAAAATTTCCAATCCCTCCCTTTCCTCCGACACTTTTCCTTCACCCTTTAGGCATGCATTTATAATGCCTATTCTGGAAAAGCCTAACCCCCCCGCCCAACCCACCATCCAACTATTGCCCTATATCGCTACTGCCATTTGCCTCCAAGATCCATGAGAGAGTTGTGTATGCAAGATTAACAGACTTCGAATTAAACACTCTGCTTGACACGCTTCAGTCTGGATTCCGCGCTCGTCACTCTGTTGAAACAGCGGTGACCAATTTAAAGATCTCTGCTAAATCTCGCAGCCATTACTCTATCCTAATTCTCCTTGATCTTTCTGCTGCCTTTGACACTGTTTATCATCAACAGCTTCTTCTCATTCTCCATAATCTAGGTCTACGAGATACTGCTCTCTCCTGGTGCTCCTCCTACCTCTCCCAGCGCTTTTTCAGTATTTCTTTCTCTGGCTCTGCCTCTTCTCCCCAACCCCTCTCTGTTGGCTTTCCCCAAGGTTCTGTCCTTGGTCCCCTACTGTTCTCCATCTATACTGCCTTCCTTGGTAAACTCATCAGCTCCTTTGGCTTTCATTATCATTTATATGCAGATGACACGCAAATCTACCGGTCCTCTCCTGATCTCTCTGCCCATCTTGACTTATCTCTGACTGCCTCTCCACAATTTCCAACACGATGGCTGCTCACTTCCGTAAAACCAGTCCAAAACAACTTCTGGTCGTTCCTCCCTCAAGTGCTGTTACTCCCATGGCTGTCTCCCTCCAAGTCAACGGCGCCACCATCACCTCTACCTCGCAGCCTAGGTGTTCTCTTTGACTGCGACCTCTCCTTCACCCCTAATGTCCAGTCGATCGCCAAATTCTGCCACTTTCACCTCAAAAACATAGCTCGCACCCACCCCTATTAACACCAGACGCAGCTAATGTCCTGGGTCCATGCCGTTATTTCTCACCTCGACTACTGCAATCCCCTTCTCAGTGGTCTTAAGTGTTCCCAGATTGCACCACTGCAATCTATAATGAATGCGGCGGTAAGGCTCATTAGTCCACCCATTGTACATTGCTATAGAATTGGCTGGTGATATATACATATAAAATTTAATTTTAAGTGTATTTTGATATAAATATATATCATCAATCGTTAGAATAAAAATTATATAATTTTTTAATTTACTTATTTATATTTTAGAATATATACACAATACAGTTATATACACATGTGTAATTTAATTCCAATTGTATTTTTATATTAATATATGTATAGATTATATAAAAATACAAAATGGAGAAATAAAGGAAACCGAGTGCAGGTCAGGAGTCCGGATACAAGTCAAGGGCTCATGAGCTGCACCACTGTAACCACCTAATAGGGAGCTCCAATGAGGGGGTAACCCTCCAAAATATGAGGGGGTAACCACCTAATAGGGAGCTCCAATGAGGGGAGTAATAGGAGTAGGTGATGTGTAGAGTCCCACAAGGGGGAACCAACATCAGGAGAGCTCCACTATATAAGAAATGAGGTAGGGAAGCCCTACCTTTAATCAATCTAAGCATAAAAAGGGATATGCAAGCAAAAAGTATAACTTGAAAAAAGGGAGATCTACTAAACGGTGCCCAGGAGATCAATTGTCTGGAGTACTAGCTAGCAGTTCCAGTTCCCCAAGTGTCCGACTGACAGGAAGGTAGTGTAAACGAGGTTAGGGAGAGAGAAGAGGCACAGGGTCCCCAGAGAATAGGGGACCGGGTAATCAGGTCTAAACGCAGATGAAAAGCCTCACACAAATAAATCTCTCAATTCACCCTAAAAAAGTTACCTCGATACCATGGTCTAACCACTAGTGTCTACCTGAACCAACTCTGCCTACTAAAGTTATAAATAAACAACTAAAAATCAATAACCATAGTGGTAACAAATTAAAAAGTGCTACCAAGTGCAGAGATTAAAGAAAAATACACTTCGTAAATACACACACACACACACACACACACACACGTGGCAATATTGGTATTGCCATCCTGATGAAAGCCCATGTATTGGGGCTGAAACGTTGATTTTTTATATGATATAGAATAAGTTATATTTTATTTTTACTATCAACAAGTCCTTGGAGTGTGGTCATTTCCAATCATTTTTATATACATACACATACACACACACACACACACACACATTTTGATTTAATAACATTTATTTTACAGATACAGGGAGACTGCCTGTCAGTTGCAGAGGGGGAACGGTCAGGGCTGTCCCCCCCAGACCGGTAGCAAACAGATTGCGAGCAGAGGAACGGCAGCGTTCGGCTAAGTAATATATTTGCAGCATACTTACTAGGAACGTCCACGGTCTCTAAGGACCGTTTGTCTGATGTACCTAGTACTACATTTTACTAGCAAGTAACTAGTTGCTTGACACCAGAACAGATACATACTTGATTGTGTTCACATTCATTCCTTGAAGCCTTGCCTTCAGATCATCTAATGCCATTCCTTCACTCCCTCTGCAGCTTTTAATCAGATTCAAAATCTGGAATGGAGGGGAAAAAACATTTATCATTTAAGACAAAAAAAAAAAAAAATAGACTGCTCATGAATGATAAAGGAAATTGCATGTTTAGATCATTAGCACTTTTCCAAGCCAAGAAAAAAAAAAAAAATAAAAAAAAAAGCATATAGCATAACAAAAACCTATAGGGTCAATAAGTCTGCACATTAATCCTATCCTCATCATGACAAACATCCTCCATATAAACAAAACTAAACCTAACAAACGGACAGTTTTGTTTTTTTTAAATAAATAAAAGTTTACAAACATTTTGAAAATGTGACGAGATCTTTACAAGACAAAAGATGAAGCTCAGTCACATTTCACACAAGTATTTTCGCTCTCCTGTGATAAGCAGTGATTTACAATTACAACATAGCTTGTTGCAATTAAAAGCCTATTGTTAAATCAGAGGCTTATAAGCTCACCGTGACTAACTGGGTTGGAGAAACCTTTCGGCTACTCCTGCCTGAAGTTTGCATTTCGATTTTAATTTGCAGCAGAGCAGAGTTTATGGAATAACCCTAAGGTTTAGGGCAAGTAGGGTAATGGCAGGTTAAGCATTTTAAGTACTTCATGAACTTAAAGTCTAATTTTCCATCTTATATAGTATGTGTGCATTATATAAAACCACTTCATATATGTACCTGGCTCTGATGTGGCGTCAGCCCATTAATTTGCATGTCATTTGCTCCTGCAGTCTCCCCCATTCCCACGCGTCCAGGTGTGCTGAGAACCATGGCAGATCCACCTCCTGAAGCCTAACACAAGAGACTGACATCTTAGGAAAAACAAAACTGAAAAAACTATTACAGCATTAAATGGAATCGAAGGAATTAAAAGCCTCAGAGAAGTTTGACACTGGAGCCTCGTACATGATCAAAAGTCGCAGTAGGAGGACCTGGAGCTGCTTTGCAAGGAAAGCTTTGCAGAAGCAGACGATTTTCTTCCATATGTGCGGTCTCCATTATAAACAAGAATACAAACCAGCACCCCCTCCACCCAACCCAAAATAAATATAGACCACTACCACACAATCCATGGATTTACACTATTTCTACACGGCTATTTGCAGCTTCCACTGCGTAGCCTTTAACATTGCATGACAAAGTAGAACCAATATAGCAAACATATTACTAAGGAAAGACTCCTCCAGGAAGAATAGAGTCTGAATTTGCAAGGAATGAACATGCAAAATACCTATTAAAGCAATCTTTAAACAATTTTTTTTTGTAAAATTGCAGTTTTACAGTGTCACTACAAGACATAGTTCACAAAACATTGTTCGTTTATAGACAAATTGCTTCAACCAGCAACGTTCAACAGGGAGGGGGGCTGGGGAGGTTAGAGCCATGCAACTCCCCCCTCTACAGGGCCAGCATCGCTACCTTTCAATGTGCCTGCGAGCCATGCAAAAAGGGGCCATTATGGGCCAGTTGGAGGCTCAAAAATATACCTTCCTGACCTGTTGCTCAGTGAGCACACATCTTATGCTGGATGTAGAGCAAGTGTATGGCTTCCATGAACAGCAGGCAGTTCAGAATGTTGCTGCGGGTTACCATGGCAACACTCCAAAACCGAAAACCAGAGGGAGAGACAGGAGGCTCTATATACACACTGGACAACTAGGGATCTTTCTAATGTCACCTCCCCTTGCCCGGGATGTATACATACATAACAGAATAAACCTTTGTATTTGGAGCGCTTGCTTTTCCTGGCATTTTTTCAGGGCAAAGCTTTGGGGAGGGGTTGATAAATTATTTTGGGGCTCAAGTCCCAGGTGTTTCTTAACCCTAGCGATGGCCCCCTGGCTTTAACTAAATAAAATCTTAAACAACCAGCTCACATGAACAGCAGATAAAACAAACTGTAGCCTCAGGATATCCATGTGAGGGATGGAGAGAACCACACTTTACTATAAACATACCTGACCCTGGGAATTTAGGATCATGTGAGCTTGTACAACCTCCAGCATGTGTGATATAAATTCATTCATGTCTTCAATAGGTGCAATCTTAAATGCTACAACACTCTTCTTATTCTGAAAAAGAGTGGGGGGAAGCAATTGTTAAATTAATTCAATTTGTTATGACCATTTTAAAAATAGTATAAGCACCTGTGAACTTAAGTTATTTACAAGAAAGATGGTGCTTCCACACTTTATATATAGATTACCATGACGAACATATAGCACACTACATGTGAATAATGGGTAATGCAGAGTATACTGCTACATTGGACTTTGCTGATAAAAAAAATTTGAACAGAATGTTGGATATTTGTAAAATTAGTGGGAAATAAATGTTTCTCTCTTACTTGCACCTCTAACTGGTATAATTCAGTTTATCAGAGGACAATGTCAACATACAAATGTACTACAGTACACACACACCTGGATTTTTCCAGAGAGATCAATGCCATTTCCTCACTCATAAGCAATACACCCACAATTGACCATTCACATGTGTAGTGGTTTGCAAAATAATTTAAAATGGATTAGCTGGGCAACCAAACCCGGTTTTACCTGCATTTCACAAATATCCAAATCTGAAAAGCCTGAAGGAGGCATTTGCATGTGACTTCAAAAATCAGAATTTGCTTTTGTTGATAACTGGGCCATGAACAACACCAGCATTGGCATAACCACAGCTGTTTTTTTCTGACAATCTGGAGCGAATATATGAATTGTCATTTTCAATGTTTCTTACTGGAAAACCAAGCCAAAAAAATTCAAAATAAACAAGATCTTCTGTGTGTTACCTGGAAGGAGCGAAGATGACCTGCTACTTTAACGTAGCTATTAGGCGGTACCACAATGCTCTCACAACTTGCTTCCTGCAAGTAAGGATACAGTTGCACATTAAACATTAATACAGTTACAGTTTGTAAGAGATAAGCAGTTATTAACTTAGAATTCACTCAAGTCTATTACGTAACCAAATGAGATTTTGGCAAATTACTGACAGCATGCGGTCTTCCTCATCACGTGCGCTGTAAGCATTCAAAATACCAACCCACTTCCTCTGTAAGACCTCTATAGCCTCTCCTTCGGATTACATCACGGTTTTTAAACTTTGTGAAATCCAACTTGATACAAATTTGAGGAACTGTAATATTAATGTTATTACAGATCCTCAACATAGAATTATGCATTTTGCTTACTTGCAAACACTACATGTTTATACAATCACCTGCCCTTAGTCTCTGTATACCAGCTACCAAAGATGTGACATTAAAGGAGAGTAAGCAGGGCTCCTAATTTCCACTTGCCATTAGACAGAAAAAATTTTGGAAGTAGAAATTAACCCCTGGTAAGTATGCTTTGAGTATTCCAGGCTTGCAGTGGTGAGTAATTTAGAAGGCCTGGCTACTAGCACAGCATTTTAACTCCTGGGAGTAATCACACAAATCCTGCCAGAGTGCCTGCCACCAATGAAAGGTAAAAGATCCAGTTTAGAGTACAGAGATAGCTTACATCTGTGTCCACCCACTGTCTGACATCCATTGGTGCTGCCGTCATGTCATCCACTTTATAAAGAATATTTGTTGGAGCCTTTTCAGCATGTCTGACTATTCCAACAATTGTAACCTGAAAAATATATGTTTGGGTTATAGACAATATTTAATTGAACAATTACACATATCCAAGATGAGATTTAACGGACACTTGAGCTGGCAGAGTTTCCCATCATTACAATGCTGGTTTTTAGCACTCTTCCTTTCACAAGACATTAACAAGCTCATGTGGTCATTTACTTTGCGTTACAACATTACTTTACTTATACTCTTATTTGCTATTGTTTAAATTAAATGTACGAAATTTGCTGTATTGTTCGAATGAAACTGCTGAACAATTCAGAATTCTCCTTTACCATGGCTACTACTTAAGCAATTTTTTATGTTCTTATCGGACCCAAGCACCATAACTGCCTATACTCTTGTCCATAAACACAGATGCTTAACCCCTTCATGTTGCTAATCATAAATGCACAATTGTTAGGGTATACAGCCGTACAATTTTAACCAATATATACGGATTATGTATGAGAAGATTATAGATTATGTGGGGTCATACTGAGAAATGTTTATTTACAACGCTTTTCTTAAATGCAACGTTATTTGGTACGCATTTTTGTTTTGTTATTTTTGATCCGACCAAAACATTTGTTTTTATTTCCATTAAATAATCACCACAACCATCTATGCGTACTGAAATGGGGGGGGGGGTCATTTGTTAGTGAATAAGTTAAACTAGGGCTTGACAAGTTTGCTTGTTCAATCAGGCATGTGGTATGTTGGTATCCTTTTATACACATGGTGCCTTTCTAATGACTGGTCAACAATAACTTAACAGTAAGTGTCTGCTGGTTCCTCTTTGTTTAGCAGTTATGCCTGAAGCATGGCAAGTGGAGGCATCTTACTCTGTGCATTTGGCCCCAATGTTCTTGAAAAAGTGTTGCTTTGTGAAAGACAAAATACTATATTTTCTATAAGATTCAAAAGTATTAAGCACTAACTTTAAAGAAGACAACGAATTAAACCAGACAAAGGGTGGAGATTTGGTCAGCATACCCAAAATCTGAACTGAATTGGCTTTAGAAGATGATTGCCAATTCAGTCAGAATTTGAACATTTTCAATCAGTTTTGTCCATTGGGCCAAAATCTGGTGTTTAGTAAAAAGAGACCCATTTGTTTAGAAGATAAAATACACACCTGAGAAAGCTCAACTTCCCCTATTCTGAAAACCTCATCATTCTGCGTGGCCGAGAGAAGCTGTGATACTGTGCATGGTACGATCTGTTGTGCCCTGGATCTCTGGAAAATAAGCAAACATTTTAAAATACATAGTATTTTATTTATATAGCGCCAGCAAATTCCCCCCCACAAGTTGCTGAAGGGGTTAAAACCCCTTCAGTGACTTACAGGATTCCAGCGCCAATGTCCTTGGGTGCTGGGTCAGGCTCCGCCTACTCTCCTCCCGCGCCGACGTCAGCAATGGCCACGCACGCCCATTAGACCTCCCCATAGGAAAGCATTATACAATGCTTTCCCATGTGGATTTCAGCAACGCTGTAGGTCCTCGCATAGTGTGAGGACATTCAGCGTCGCTTAAAACACTTTTCGTGTTCTATGAACACGGAAGTTCCTAGTAGACAGCCACTAGAGGAGGACTTAACCTGCAATGTAAATATTGCAGTTTCTAAAAACTGCAATAGTTACACTTGCAGGGTTAATGGTAGTGGGAGTTGGCACCCAGACCACTCCAATGGGCAGAAGTGGTCTGGGTGCCTGGAGTATCCCTTTAAACTTCAAAGTAAGCAAAATTTCAAACAGTGAAGACCAAGTTTCTATGCTTATGGAAGCATTTTGTTCACAATTAAAGGAGCAGGCTACAGCACACATTGCCATTAGCACAAATGTTCAATAACGTAAAACCTAATCGCACCATCTTCAGTTCAGTTAAAGAAAAGAGAAAAAAAGTGTACATTTACATTTCTGGGTACATCCTAAAAAAAAAATTCAAAAAAATAAAAATTACCCAATATGAAAATTGTATAGCTTCCTTGTACAAGTTTTTAGTTGTGCTCTCGAAAGACTTGGAATAAATTATTCTGACATTCTGCAGCATGATAACATGTCTAATGCAGCAGTCGCTTCTGAGTTTTACATAAAACGCAAAGGCAGCGCATTCTTATGCAAAAATCTCACATTAAAAATACATAAGACAAAGTAGTAACTACTTTGACTAATGTACTAATTAGATAATGGCAAAAAGCAGAGATATAATTATCCTCCGCTTGCCATATACTGTAATTTCCTCTTCATTTATCTCATGCAATAGCTGATAGGAAAAGGATGCCTGCGCTGAAGCCAGCACAGAGGAAAGAGAGCTTCAAAGTAAATCTTACCCAAAATGTCTTATGTATATACATGTCACCTATGGAAGTCCCAGTAAACATTCTGAGACCATATAGGTGTCAAGGACAGTAATCATTACAGGACTAATCGATTATTATACGGTCAGTTGTGTCTGGAAGACTCTATATGCAGAAACAGTGCCTAACAAAAGTTAGTGGAAAGTAGGTTACAACATACAAAACAATTAAAGCCTATGGTTCTTAAAGTATTACGCCATTCATTAGAACCACTACAGCCCACTGTAGTGTAGTGGTTATGATGAAAGGAGTACCCTTGCCTGGTTCCCTGGTAAAAGAGGAAACTGTTCAACAGTTTGCCCTCTTACCTGGGTCCTGGCTGGGCTCTCCCCATGTGTGATTCACTTCTGGCTTCTGAAGAGCTGCAGAAGCTGATCCAGTCACCATTTATTGTCTGAGTGCAATAGCTGACCACTCAGCTAATGAATGGCAGACTGTGCAAAAAATATTTGCAGAGACTTGATATTAGCGAGCCCAGAAATCTTGCTCCAGGATGGCCAATAATGCTCCTATGAGGTTGCTCGGGGTGAAGTTAGACATCTGGCACCCAAGGGGTTAAAGTCTGTATATGCAGGGTTTCACAGCGAAATGCTGAACATTCAGACATCAGGAACCATGACTACGTCAAATCACTGCACACACACCAATGAACAAATGGTGCGCTCACAGGTCTTTACAATCTTCAATGCAGTTTTATTCCAAATCAACTGTGCATACAACTCAACGTTTTGGCTTCCTTTAAGCCTTTTTCAAAATCTTGAAAAAGGCTCAAAGGCGCCGAAACGTTGATTTGAAATATCACACTGGAATAAAACAGCATTGAAGATTGTAAAGACCTGTGAGTGCATCCTTTGTTCATTAGTGACTGTATATTTAACGTGGGTTGCAGCACCCAGGCAAGTTGTATTTGTTAGATTATTGTGGAGGAGTGCAAAGCCTTTGGAATTGAGAGACAGACACACAGATATACACACCCCTCCCCCTACCCCCTGTCAATTGCACAATGTAGAGAGAGAGAAAAAAATATAAATACATTTTAAAAAATAAATAAATCACACAATCATACTGGCAATGACCAAAAACAAGGTCAGTTTGAGTTCAATAATCAACTAGTTAAGAGAAATCTTTTAAACAGGAGGGCGGAATGCTGTAATTCACACAAACATGTATGAAGGAAATAAATCAGCAGAAAAATATAGAAGTGCTCCAACATGGAAAAGCTGGTGCTACAATCTTAGAACCACATTCCTAGCTTCCATATGCTCTCAAGTCTGTTGCACAACCGTAAAGTTGTGCTTGCAACCTGTGTCTTTACGAATATCAAAGAGGGCTACTGCAAGCACAATGCAAGGTATATGGTGCAAAATGCTAGCGATTACAGGAAATTTGCAAGACACCATGCGTTCTGCTGCATAAGGCATTAGATTGGCAAGGGGAGACAACCAAGCAAAAAAAACCTAAATTTTACTTTACCATAAATTTTTCTATAGTCCAAGCGGCAGTCATAACAAGTGGGATATTGTTGCAAATTTCTAACAGGGCAGGTAGCATTGAAAAGGTTAAAACAAAATGCTGTCCCGCTTAGCCTTCCCATCCACCCTGACCTCCCCAGTATATAACAAGCTAATAGGAGGATATGTGTTTACATTTTTCTAATCTAAAAGTATAAAAGGGAGGGAAATCATGACTGACTGACTATGGAAAAAATTAATTTATGGCAAGTAAAAATTTTGCTTTTACAGGCGTCCAAGCGGCAGTCATAACAAGAGGGATGATATAAAGAACATAATATAGCAAGATTAAAAAAAAAAAAAAACAGGGTGGAAACAATTTCACCTAGAGAACCCACAATACAGGAGCCTGTGGATTATGGCTCCTGAATCACAAAGAATACCATCCCCAGCTGATGGGACTGCCTACTGGAGTAATTCTGGAACACCACCAGTATTAAACTTAGTTAGAACCTTAGTCGTTATCTGCAGGGTAAGAAAATACACACAGTAATCAGCGCAAATCCAGAAGTGACATACAACACTCATTTAAATATGCATATAAATGAAAAAAAAACAAACAAAAAAAAACTTATACAGACATAACCCAAAATTTGGAGGAATCTTATACAGTTTTCAGAATACAGAAGGGCAATTGCTTGTTATTCATATTTTCACTGGTGGTATTGTAGGTGTTATAAGTGTATTTTGTCACTTATACAGACAAACCGATACATAAAAATAAATATATATTTGCCATAGTGATTAATATAGCCCAATACATACCAACACCAAACAGAAAATGGGAGGGGAAAAAAAAAAATTAAAAAAAAAAAAAAAATCACACACACATACACATATATATACACATACACACACATATATACACACATATACATACACATAATTTTAGATTTTTTTTCCAAATCAAAGCTTTTATTAACCCCTTCAGGACCGGACTGTTTTTGCGATGTTTGTGCATTAAAGGACCAGAGCTATTTGAACACTTTTGTGGTGTTTGAGTTTAGCTGTAATTTTCCGCTCTCATTTGCTGTTCAGATACAAATTATAGGGCTATAAGTACAATTAGGAAATTGCTGTTTCAAAATGTACATTTTTCAAATGTATCAATAGTGACATTGTAACACTGTTATGTCATAAATCTCCAAAAAACAACCCACATGTATGTATTTTTCTTAAACTAGATAACCCAGGGTATTCATCTAAGAATATTTTGATACTTTCTATGCAGCCATTTTACCACAAACCTTTGCATAGGTAGTTTTTTTTTTTTTCCCACATACATTGCAATTCAGGTATAAATTCACAGATTCTGTTATGTGTCACTACCAAACAACACCCCCATATGTGTTCAGCAACATCTTCCGAGTACAGGGATACCCCCCATGTATAGGTGTGTTGGGTTGGGAGCTAAAAGGACACATTTTGTAGGTGCGCATATCAGTTTCCCAACTTGGAATTTTGACATGTAGTCAACCTGCATGCATGTCCTATTTGGGACATTTTTGAAGCCAGCCAATGTATTTTACCCCCATCAAGCCATATATTTTTGAAAATTAGACACCCTAGGGTATTTCACATGGTAGTATTTTAACACTTTCCATGCACTAATTCTACCACAAGGCTTTGTCTAACATTGAGTCAGTAATTTTTTTTCCAGTTTTTTTTCCCACACACATTGTACGTTAGGCATGAATTAACAGATCCTGTTATGTATCACTGCCAAACAACACCCCAATATGTGTTCAGCAAGATCTCCTGAATACAGTGATACCACCCATGCATAGACTTGGCTTGGGTTTTTTGGGGGCTAAAAGGCCATGTTTGGCAGGTGCGCTTATCAGTTTCCCAACTTGGAATTTTGACATGTAATTAACCTGCGCCCATGTCCCATTTGAGCCAATGTATTTTACCCCCATCAAACCATATATTTTTGAAAATTAGACAACCCAGGGTATTTTAAACGGTGGTATTTTAACACTTCATGCACTGAATTCTACCACCAGCCTTTGTCAAATCTTTTTTGTTTCTTTGTCACACACATTGTACTTTAGGCATGAATTAACAGATCCGGTTATGTGTCACTGCCAAACACTGCCCAATATGTTCAGCAACAACATCTCCTGAGTACAGTGATACCACCCATGTATAGGGTTGCTGGGTTGTTTGGGGGCCAAAAGGCAATCAGAACTTGTACATGTCAGTTCAACTTGATATATAGGTATGCTTGGTCTATCTTCAGTTTGACATTTTTGCACCCCCCAGTTAATGTAACCATCATGACAGTATATATATTTTTATAAAGTAGACATCAAAGGTTATAGAAGATAGGGTGTTTTGACTTCTTTCCCCCAACCATTTTGCCCCCCAAAGAAAGTGTATTGGTAATTTTTTAATTCCGGTTTTTATGCACACGTCATCTGGTTTTGGTCAGCTGGTTATGTGTTGGACCAAATGTGCAGGTAGCAAATGTACATTTAGCAGCAATCTTTAAACTGACTCCTGCAAATAGAATCTAACTGGAGATTTGGGGGAAGGAAACTAACAAAAAATGGCTGCTTTCCAAAGAAGCAAAAAATAGAAATTCGGGAACACTTCTTACAACTGTTCTGTGTGGTACAGCTTGAAACATATTCCTACACACAGTCCTGGTTTCAAAGGGCAATAGGAGAGTGAAAAGGGGTGTCTGTCCTTTTCTTGTTTTTAAAACAGAACCCGGCAACATTTCTGGGTTTTTGTTTTTTTTTCCCCTAGCAGTTGGCGGTAGCTTAAAAAGAAAAGGTCTGGACTCCGCTTGCACCGTTGTTGGAACTTGTCCATCTCCATAAATTGTTAAAGAAATTATTTTCAACTGAAATTGGAGAAAGGTGGGTTTTCCCTGGATTATTAAATAAAATAAATAAATAAAAAATAAAAAAATGAGTTGTGGGTTGCTATTTGCATCATATAAATATAGCCACCTTTTTATACCATGCTTTGGTTTTTCGTAAAAGATATGGCTGCATCAGCTGATCAGCCAAATCAACACCCCCCATGTACTTATACGCCCTGATGCAAACCGGTTTGGACTCTACTCTGCCTCGGACAGAGACGTCTGACATGCATTCGTCATGGATGGTGGTTAACATGTTGACATCCTTCCTGTCCCTAAATTTTAGTGCAAGCACTTGAGCTTTGCAAAGTGCTTTACATTCGCTTTTTAAAATTTTGCCTCTATGAGAGAGCATGGAAAGTCTTTGGAATTTTTTCTGGCAGTGCCGCAGGCCAGTGTCTGTAAACCATAAAGTGTTTTAAACAGACGAACACTACTATAAAAATTATCCACATAAAGGTGGTAACCTTTATCAAACAAGGGGTTTAGTAGGTCCCATACAAGTTTCCCCACTTGTCCCCAGGGAGTCAGGACAGCCAGGAGGGTCCAGTTGACCATCTTTCACCTCATATACACGAAAGGCAAACGTGTATCCACTTTCGCTCTCGCAGTTTGTACAGTTTTATGCCATACCTAGAGCGCTTTGAGGGGGATGTATTGTCTGAACCCTAATCTCCCTTTGTATTTTATTAGAGATTCATCTATGGATAAATTTTGTTGGGGGTATAAACATCCGAACATTTGTCCTGAAAATGGTCTAGCAGTAGGCGTATTTTATAAAGCCTATCGTATCGGGTGTGATCTCTAGGGTGACAGGGTATGGTCACTGAAATATAAAAATCTCAGCAGTAACTCGTTTCTGGCTCTAGGCTTGGTTTGGGAGAATACTGGACTAGACATTCGGTTGGTGCTCCAGTATGAGCGAATTTTTTACGCTCTGGGACATCTGTGGGATGCCACTCATGCTCCCTGACTATAGCTTCCTGGATTGTTAATAAATTGGGTAGCATACAAGTTAGTCTGGAAAGCAATCTCCTCCCAGATGGTATCCCCTAAAAATAGTTCTACATACTGCATTGGGGAGAAGCCATCCACATTAACATCAATGCATGTGTTGGTACTAAAAGGGGGGACGTTGGGCTCGGCTAACTGTGGAGGTACCCAGTCCTCCTCCACATTCGGCGTAGCAGAGGAAGCACAGCTTCTTTCTTCAGCTGGCTCACACACACAGATGACATGTCGTCTAGACTAGACGTGTCAAAACTGACCTGGGTCAAAATCTGACGCAGTGTCAGTGTCTGACGCCAAGAAGGCATATGCCTCCTGCAAGTTATACATACGCTGCATTTTTATTTATTTTTTTTTTATTATTTTTTTAACACTTTTTTAATACTAAAACAGACTAAACAGCAATCCCTAAACTAACTCCTGTCACAAAAATCTAATGGAGATTTGGGGGAAGGAAACTGACTGACCAAGACAGATTTTTAAAACAAATTTAACCCTTTAAGGGCAAATAAATAAATAAATACAGACAGTACAAATGCACACGCCGCAACTGGCTGTTACTATCTGCCTGGCAGATAGTAGCAGTGTTATACTGGCGGGAGCGATCTTTGATCGCTTCCCGCAGCCCGTTTTTCGCTATGACGCTTCAGGACCGTCAGCGGTCCAAACGCACGGTTTACCGCTGACAGTCCTGAATCGTCAGTGGTCCTGAAGGGGTTAAAGAAAACCATGAGCATATGTAAGTAAATAAGGTAAAGCAATACAGGTCCCAAAGTCACTCATTTTTCCCACGTCCCCTAATCCATTACCCTATTACCCCTGCAATTCTATTGCAGCATCAACATGGTTCAGCTGAGTCAGGGTATACAGTAAAAGTATAGGGTTATGAGAGCATTGAAATAGCCTCATATGCAAGCTTAGATAGATACATAGGAGATGGCTATAATACCAGCTAGTATATTTCACCACAAATTATAATTTCGAGACATACAACCATTTCAACTGTGGTTATGGGATACCTGCCATCCATATAGTGTTAGAAATGCTATAAATTATTTTGAGTATCCGGCGGGATCCCGGTCCTTCAGTTGATAGAAAATAGCGATAGGAAAAGGAGTAGAAAGATGAGAAGAGAGAATGATACAGAAGGAAAAAAAAGACAGGAGCCACTGGATAGTGTCAAAGAGCTGGGGCAAGTTTTCAGAGGCAGGCAGCCCCCCGCTTGTCATATCTACAGCTACAGTCATATCCATCAAGCTGTGCCATGTCGCCAACGTCTGCATCACCGGAGAGGTCAAATCCATAGTACTCCGTGGGCACCCCTTTGAGTGCCAGAGCGCTGTTAGGAGCTATGGCTGCATGTGGCCCTTATGCTCTACCGACTGCTTAGGAGCTGGATCCATATTCCATTCCCAAACTCTGCAGAATGGTGGCTTGGTGGTACTTATGGAGGTCAAGAAGTGCCAGTACTCAACCAGCTTCTCGGGGGCATAAGAGGTCATATTTAAGTCTCTTGTTCTCCATTCCATACAGGTTGAATCATGGAGGATCTCAGGGAAGCGAAGAAGGCTGTGGGAAAGGCGAAAGGAAGAGCTTGAAACCCGGTATAGGAGTCTAGGTAGTACGCTCATCTTTATAACTGTGATCCGGCTAAATCACAATATATGCGGATAAGCCCATTTTCGTAGATTTTGTATGCGTTGTAAGAAGTAGAAAATGAATGCGGTATTGATAGTCCCTTGTGACAACTATTCTATCAGAGTGGTTCTATCAGAGTCCATACAGATGTTCAAACAGCTACTAGATGCATGAAACAGAATATTCAAAGATATAATCTTTCAATGTAGGGTAATAACAGCTTGATCCAAGGATAAATCCAAGGAATTTTTTTCCTAGCTTGTTGCAAAACGGTGCTTCAAACTTTTTTTTTGCCTTCTTTTGGATCAACAGCAAAAAACAAATGTGAGGAAGGCTGAACTTGATGGACGCAAGTCTCTTTTCAGCTACGTAACTATTCCCAGATATTTAATGTGTGTAGTGCACCATTAGAAAGGAAACGGATGATGTAGGAGTTCGTTTTTGGCCAAGAGTTGAGTTATTAAGTAACTCACATTTAGACATGTTCAGTTTAAATTTGGGTATGTCCCATAGTACTCCAACAGTTCCACTAAGTGTGGCAGCGTCGTAGTGGGATCATATATATATAAAAAAAATTTTAAAAAAAAATCATCGGCATATGCAGCAACCTTATGAGAGGTGACTTTCCACGTAAAGCCCTTAATATAGGCAGATTTCCACACGGCCTCCAGGGTCAGTGCAAAGAGCATTGGAAACAGGGCACCCCTGCCTAGTTCCATTTCGTATCTGAAAATGATCTAAGAGTGCTCCATTTACTCTAATCTGTTCGCTAGGACAGCTGTATAATGCTCTTATCCAGCTCATAGTGTTGCTTCCAAATCCCATCTCCCGTAGCGTGGCCATAAGGAACGACCAATCCACCTCGTTGAATGCTTTCTCCGAGTCAGTCGACAAGAAGACTTTGTACTTTGCTCTCAGAGTGCAATCCTGGACCTCTCTTACAGGTATGAAACTCATTTGATCTGGGTGTACAAGTCTTGGCAGCATGTTCCAAATCCTGGTGGACAGAATTTCAGTAAACAATTTGATATCCACGTTAAGTAGGGAGATTGGCCTATAACAACCGCACATATCTAGATCTTTTCCCATTTTAGGATTGACAGTGATGGTGGAAGCAAGCGATTCTTGATGGAGACTGTTCTGGACCGTCAAAGCGTTCCGCGCCTTAGGAAGTAAGATAGTGCTTGTAATAGTCCAGGGTGAAGCCGTTTGGGCCTATCCAGTGTTTCTGCCTCATCTGATCCAATTCTTTCCCTGATGAAGTCATTGAGGAACCTCATCCTTCTAACATTTCTAATCTCAAGGACCCCTGGTTGAGTCGGTTGTGGGATGTTTTATATCGAAGAACAAAAAGGAAAAGAACTCCGGCGCGATCTTGTCCGGGAACTGGAGAGTTCCCTTAGGAGGTTCGTAGTTTGTGTACCTGAGTGAGTGTTAGGAGGCCCTTCAGCATTCTCGCCAGTAATTTTCCCCCCTTTGTTAGCACGTGGATAGAAAAAGGCATCTGATCTTTAGACCGATCGGTAGTATCTATGAGTGATGAGCGTTTGAAGCTGGCGTCTGTTATGGGCAAATGCAAATATTACAAGTTTTAGAATGAAAATGTATTTCTTAAACTGTACTTTGTCTTTAAGAGATATTGCAAACTGACAAGGTGTTAGAAATGGAACATATTGTTTTTCAGAACTGTTTCTTTAAGCAATAACCTCAGTGCATAATATGTTTGCGCCATTTTGTCCCAGACGAATTACAAAAATACATAAACAAGCTTCAATGCTATGACTCTTTCAGTACACAATATACTGTGGTAACCTTAGTAGATAAGGATGTTCAGACTTTAAGATGCCATCTTGAACTAAGTCAGGAAAATTTCCATGACGTATACACCCTTTAGTTATGGCCTTGTATGTTTGCCAGATTAAGGGAGGTCCTAAAATGAAGTAAAAGAAGTTTTACTTTTTCATATATGAACTACGGTAACCCTAAAATGGAGACACCTAAGGTATAAATAGGTGTACTGTTAAGACACAGAGGAGAGACTTTGAGACAGACGCTGCTCCATCTTAAAATGACAGAGAGGCTGACATGACGACATGTTCAGAAGGGTATGTTAACCTATTAATATTTGTAAGCATTTAGTTTAATCTTATAAATTCTGCTATAATGGATTTTATATAATATCAAAAAAAGAAAAAAAACTTTATTGCTTCCAAGACAATCCTTATTTTATATTGTATTCTCAATTATGTTAAATAGAGGATCTCTTACACTAACTATAGGAAATTATGGCTAAGATATCTGTATGATTAGCCCTACTAAAGTTCTATGCGTTAAGACGTTATAGTGGTAAATAAGGGAACCAGCCGCGGTTACACGTCTAGCCTCCAATAGCTCCCCGTAGGTTTCCACGAGTTGGATCTTTTATGTTGTGCTTCAAGAGACTATCTTCACAGCAAGCTTGCTAGATGGCGCTGGGCTTCCTTCTTACTGGATGCAAGGTGGATAATAGTCCATGTGATGGCACTTATGTGTTTTCCAGATCATGGCTGCTGTGAGTTCGCCTGGCGTGTTCATCTTTAAGTATGCGGAGAGCTCCACAATAATTTTCTCCTTAATACCCAAGTCTAGTAGGAGGGAGTCATTTAGCCTCCAGGACCATGTTGCTGGTCTAAATCTCGGCAAGTTCATTTCCATGGTCACAGGGTTATGATCTGACCACATGGCTGCTTTTATCTCCACCATTTGCATGTTCGTTAATTGTGCTTCTTGAAGAAATACTTAAATCAATCCTAGCATATCTTATGAATTGCCCAATAGGGGGTGTACTCCTTATCTGCTGGGTGTAGAGCTCTCCAGCAAGCCATGAGCCTGAGCCTTCTCAGCAAATTCTGTAGGCTACTTAACCCCTTCAGGACCAAACTTCTGGAATAAAAGGGAATCATGACATGTCACGTCATGTGTCCTTAAGGGGTCAAAGCTCCTCGTGGGATACTGCTGTGTCCAGATGATGAGTCAACTACCGGGTTTAGAAGGACATTAAACTCCTCCCCCCAGGACTAGGGCTCCTTCTGCGAACGACTCAAGTTTATTAATGATTTTGTGCATGTATTGGGATTGGTTCGCATTAGGCACATACACATCTACAAATGTGAATTTGCGATCCTGCAGCTCTCCTTTCAGGAAGATTTATCTGCCACCACAGTCTGTCATCCTCTTGGTCTCCTGAAATTGCAGCGCCGCCTCAAGCAATATAGCTACGCCTGAACTGCTCCACCACTGACACTTAGGGGGTGGGGTCCAAGACATCTTCAGTCTGTGTCCAATTTTAAAAAATTATTATTTTTTTTTTTTTTTAATTGTTTTCGTCCCTCCTCTCCCCTTCTACATTTCAATGGAATCTGGGCCCTGTGCGCTCTAAAAAAACCCACAACACCTGCGGACTCGCTCCACCAAGGACTATGCTGAACAGCCCAGCCAAAAGGTACTCAGCATTTTCCTCTCCCTTCACTTTGGTACACCACGTACCCTAATGTTGAAGCGGCGACTCCTATTGTTCAGATTTTCCACCTGGCGGCGTAGGGAAAGTATCATGGCCCCCTGCCTTGCAATAGCGACATCCGAAGTCGTGTCCTGTGGTTGTGCGGCTTGGGTCTCAAGTGCCTGTATCCGGGCTCGCCGCAACCGCTGAGGTAAGGGAGGCAATCAGCGTGGTGGAGAGGGACTGGAGGTAGTCCCTGGTTATCATAGCTGCCACCAATCGCCATATGTCGGCACAGATATCGGACAGCATGGAGGATCCCGGGCAGAGGAAGGGGATACAGGTGCCATCTTGGAGCCGTGCACCCTGCAGCTAGGCCCCGGCAGAGTCTGAAGGGAGTCGTTCATTGGTCCCGTCACACTATGCGTGAGTAACCCTACGAGTCTGCAGGGGCTCCGAAAGCTTGGTCGGGCCCATAGGGGTAAATAGTGCTGCGGCAAGTCGTTATTAGAAGCTCAGTGGTGCAGAGCTCAAGTTTCAAACGCCCATCTTGCTCAGACCTCAGACCTTGCCCCCCCCATATCCATGATTAACATACAGGCTAATAAGACAAATAATTAACCACTAATTAAACCATTAGCGTACCCAGCCTCACAACTAGCCATAGTAGAGATACTTTCAACATATGGAGAAAACCCATGAATAAATGCATGAAAAGAAAAAGTCAACCTACAAAGGGCCCCCTAATGTCAAATGCAAGAACACAGATAGGGAAAGAATAGACCCAGAAGTGGATAGTGAGTTTGTGTTTACTCCCCCTCATTCTATTTTGTAAACACATTTGGAGGCGTTAAACTCTGGAAGAATTGTGCAGATACCAATTTTAGAGTTTATTGTTCTAAAAACTTTACGTAGCAAGCTTATTATAGTCCTGATCTCAAAATCTTTGGAAAAGCACTTGTGAAAAAGATGAAAGGAAAGCTGCAAGATATATCTGCACATAGGTAATGTGATAGAACCACAAAAAAAAAATAAAATAAAAAAATCATATAGATGCATAAATAGCAGCACATACATTTCAGAAGTTAAAAATGCATATATCCCAAACTCTACACCTCTAAACACGAAGTGAAAAAAAAAATATCAAACCAACTGCTGGTTTACACAAGGTCTGAACTCCTCCAGGTGTAATTGAGATGCCACTAACGCGCTGTAAAGACACACACTATGAAGCCCAGCCTCTGTGCACAGCACATGCCGACTAGTGGAAAACTGATAAAGTCAGTTTGATCTGATTGTGGTGCCCCTCATTTCAGAATTGAAACAAAGCTATAAATAAAAACTGTCCACATACAGGTGATACTCGAAAAATTAGAATATCATGCAAAAGTTCATTTATTTCAGTAATGCAACGTAAAAGTGAAAATATATAAGATAGACGCATTACATGCAAAGCAAGATAGTTCAAGCAGTGATTTGTCATAAGTGCGATGATTATGGCTTACAGCTCATGAAAACCCCAAATCCACAATCTCAGTAAATTAGAATATTACATGCAATCAATAAAACAAGGAGTGTACATAGAATATCAGACTTCTGAAAAGTATAAGCATGCATATGGACTCAGTACTTGTTTGGGCTCCTTTAGCAGCAATTACTGCCTCAATGCAGCATGGCATGGAAGCTATCAGCCTGTGGCACTGCTGAGGTGTTATGGAAGAACAGGATACTTCAATAGCGGCCTTCAGCTCTTCTTTGTTCGGTCTCATGTCTCATCTTTCTCTTGACAATGTCCCATAGATTCTCTATGGGGTTCAGGTCAGGCGAGTTTGCTGGCCAATCAAGCACAGTAATCCCACAGTCATTGAACCAGGCTTTGGTGCTTTTGGCAGTGTGGGCAGGTTCCAAGTCCTGCTGGAAAATGAAGTCAGCATCCCCATTAAGCTCATCTGCGGAAGGAAGCATGAAGTGCTCCAAAATCTCCTGGTAGATGGCTGCATTGAACCTGGACTTAATGAAGCACAGTGGACCAACACCAGCAGATGACATTGCTCCCCAAATCAACAAAGACTGTGGAAACTTCACACTGGACTTAGAGCATCTTGCAGTGTGTCCCTCTATTTCTACAGACTCTGGATCCTTGGTTTCCAAATGAGATGCAAAAGTTGCTCTCATCAGAAAAGAGGACTTTGAACCACTGAGCAACAGACCAGGTCTGTTTCTTTAGCCCAGGTAAAATGCTTCTGACGTTTGTTGTTCAGGAGCTGCTGGACAAGAGGGATACAACATCTGAAGCCCATGTCCAGGATCCGTCTGTGTGTGGTGGCTCTTGATGCACTGACTCCAGCCTCAGTCCACTCCTTGTGAAAGTCCCCAACACTTTGGAATGGCCTTTTCCCGACAATCCTCTCCAGGCTGCGGTCATCCCTGCTGCTTGTGCACCTTTTTCTTTCCACATAACTTTCTATTAATGTGCTTTGATACAGCACTTTGGGAACATCCAACTTCCTTCGCAATTACATTTTGAGGCTTTCCCTCCTTATGGAGGGTGTCAATGATGGTTTTCTGCACAACTGTCAGGTCAGTAGTCTTCCCATGATTGTGATTCCTACTAAACCAGACAGACCATTTAAAGGCTCAGAAACCCTTTGCATGTGTTATGGCTTACTTAGCTAATTAGAATGGGACACTGAACCTTTTTACTATATTCTAAAGAGATTGTGGATTTGGAGTTTTCATGAGCTGTAAGCCATAATCATCGCACTTACGACAAATCACTGCTTGAACCATCTTACTTTGCATGTAATGCGTCTATATCATATTAGTTTCTCCTTTTACATTGCATTACTGAAATAAATGAACTTTTGCATGATATTCTAATTTTTCGAGTATCACCTGTATATGGTAACCTTATTTTAAAAGCATAGGCCCTGACTAGCTACTCCTGCGACATCTATAATAGTCTGTCCCTGCTGGGCTACACAGCAGACCCTAGTGGTGTAAGACAAGGTATTTCAATAAACTGGTGAGGTAAAAAAATAAATAAAAATAAATAAAACCATGAAAATATTGAAACCTGGTTTAATAAAATACCAATTAACCTCTTAAAATCAGTACAAATTGGGGGGGGGGGCGGAGCTTGACCGCCATGCGGAGCAGTCGCAAGCATCCAGAGCTCCCACCAAACAGCCGACTTTAAGCCTCCCTTACCCCAACCCACGCTCACTCACTCCACAGAGCTACTGGTGGGAACGGGACAGAGGCATCACAGGCTCCCAGGAGACACTAGCCAAGGCAGGTCCGACTTGCGGCCTAGTGGTTGATGCGGGGCTGGGGACGCAGCCAGTCCTCCAGTCCCGAAGTCCTGCAGACGCAGAATCTCTCCCCCCCCTTGGACCGCTGGGGGTCATCACGGTCCACCATGGCACCCCTACAAGCCCAAACACCTGCAAACAAGCTCTGCCGGACGGGAGGAAGCAGCAGCACTCCGCTCACTTAAAATGGCGGCGGGCAGAACCAGGAAGACTCCTAGCAGCAACGCAGCCTTACACTACGCAGGAGCAAGCTGCTAGGAGGCAGAGACAGACCCTGTACTACATCGGAGAACCGGTAGCTGGAAAGGTCAGTGGCAACATCCCACAGCCACAACCCTGATGGAGATAGGGCAGGGGAGACAACCACACGACAAACGCCGACGCACAGCATGCCAATGCAGCCAAGATACCTGGCGACACCCTGTTCGGGCCCCATCCTAGCCCACACCCGGGACTCAAAGACCCTGCCTCACATGACCTACCTGGCATGAACCGACCCTGGGACTAAACACAGCCCGGAGAGCACCCACCACTCTTTACCCAGCTGCAACCCCCACACCATTTATCACCTCTACCTGCGCTGACGGGGCCCACCTGGCGTGTAGCCAACCCAGACCAACGGTGCTATGGTTACCATACACAAGCAGGACTCTAACTATACACAACTCTTATCACTCATAATTATCAAGCATGTTTATAGAGAAGCCTAATTATCTGCGTAGCAAGCCTGTTTCTGTATAAAATGTGTGTCAAGCGATAATAATCCAAAAATGTGCAAAGTTTTTCAAGCATACTTTGAGATCCACTAATCTTTAGTAACCTAAGGCAACGCAGTTAGAAATCATCTATGTTCAACCTGTTCATGTACAATATGTGTGTCAAGCGATAATCTAAAACAAAAAAGTGCAAAGTTATTTTCCCCTGTCTACCTAATGCAAATCTTTGTTTGACTCTGCATGCCCCGGCTGTTGTGGCTTGGTGTGCTATATGTGATTTTTCCTGCACAAATAAAATAAAGAATAAAAAAAAAAAAAAAATCAGTACAAATTGGAAGTTAATAATCCAATTTTAGCCCAACTCTCAGAAGTTGGCTGGCAGTTCCCAATTCAATTACCAATGTAAGAAACATGGCCATGCTGGAAGATTATACAAATTTGACGTGACCCCCAGAAAGTGAGTAGAGGTTATTAAGAGAAACTAGGAAAACGAAATGCTCACTATGGACACAACGTAAAAATAAAAAGCTGTGAATTTCTAATACCAGCATAACTGGGTTTCATATAGACTGGAATACACATCCCAAAATTGTTATACGTATAGTCTAAAACATGGTTTCCCAAACTGTGGGTCGCCGGCTGTTTTTTGGTGGGTCGCGCTGATCCACGCTGATGCAAATACTGGGGAGCTCAGGGTGGAGTTGCCCTTTATAAGGCTAGGAGGGGAGGGACTGCATTTTGTTGTTTTAACCTTTTCAATGTCCTTTTTTGACCTGTTTGAAATGGGCAACTATATTACACTTGTTATGACTGCCGCTTGGACTATGGAAAATAAATTTTTATTTGATACTCACAGCTTTCTTTTCTCCTTGTGTGGGTGCTGGGGATCCAAAGCCCCCTGGTGACTGCATGTAACCACCACCTCCTCCCATTCCAGAACCACCATAACCACCATCAAAGCCTCCTATTGCACACAAGTAAAAGAGGTATGTTAATTCCAAACCATGATCTATTTAATATATTCAATTACATCACTCAGGGTCAAGCATAACTATAAAACAATCACAAGGACAATTTTCTTATTTCAGACAGTGACATCAGCAAAGATATTCCTTGTAATGAAAAAAAAAAAAAAAGTTACTTACCTTAAATTCTTTTTTCTGACATACGGTGGAAGTACAAAATTAACATAAAAAGTTCCTCCCCCAACAAGTAGACACCAATCTGTCATGGACCCGGAGTACGCCACAAAAAAAAAAAAAAAATACAAAAATATCAAACTCATTAATAAAAGGGGTGGGTGGGGGTGTTTTACTGCCACCATATTAAGGAAAAAGGAATTTATGGCAAGTAAAATTACAGTTTTTCCTGACATACAGTAGCAGTACAATAGGGATATATCGTGATCCCAGAACTATAGGCAGGAATTAGGCAGCCACTTGCAACACCTTATGCCTGAAAGCAGTGTCAGAGGTAAAGTATAAGTCTTGTCTAATGTTTTACAACGGAGTTAAATAAAGACCATGTAGCAGCTCTGCAGATGTCTTCTGGTGAAGCTTGAGCTTTTTCAGCCCAAGAAGTAGCCATGGTTCTTGTAGAATGAGCTTTCAAGGAGGTAGGTAAGAGCAGATTTGATGAAACATAACTTTATAGTGTCCACAAGCCATAGTAGACTTTGAGGCTGTATGAACTTTACATTTACATAATTTCACAAAAAGATAGTGAGAGTCTTCCTAAATGCAGAGGAGCAGTCCAAGGGATCTTCCGACATACAACTTGTGCCAATTTTTTTTCCAGATTAGAGTCAGATGAATTACCAAGAGCAGGCAGGGAAATTGGTTGATTAATAGCATTAGAAGAAATGACTTTAGGCAAAAAAAGAAGGGTTTGAGATATAGAACAACCTTATCCTGAATAATCTTTGTAAATTCTGTAGATGACAGAGCCTATGGGTAGATAAACTAAGACAATGCTAAACTATATTAGTAGAAGGAGAAGTTCTTACGCAATGATCTGTGTGTGTATATATACATACATACACACACACACTCTAGGTGTATTTTACTATTAATATATAATTATTGTTATATATTTATATATAAAAAAAATTAAATTTAAAAAATAATTTAAATTAAAAAATATATAGATGTATGATTTCGTTCTAACTGTATTGGGATTATATATTTATATCAAAATACACGTAGAACGAAATATATCTACATACGTATATATACCTATATATAAATAAAAATTTATATATATATATATATATATATACACACATATACACACACATACATACACACACACACACACACACACACACACACACACACACACGTAATATTTTTACATAAGTAGGTATCTTAATTACAATTAGTGGGACCTGCCTGACAACCCATGCCGAAAGTAAAGGGAATTTAATTTGCTAGCACTATATTTAACCCTATAACTTTCCAAGACACCATAAAACCTGTACATAGGGGGTACTGTTCTACTCGGGAGACTTCGCTGAACACAAATATTAGTGTTTCAAAACAGTAAAATGTATTACAACGATGATATCGCCAGTAAAAGTGACTTTTTGCATTTTTCATGCACAAACAGCACTTACACGGACGATATTATTGCTGTGATACTTTTTACTGTTTTGAAACACAAATATTTGTGTTCAGCGAAGTCTCCCGAGTACAACAGTACCCCTCATGTACAGGTTTTATGGAGTTTTCAAAAGTTACAGCGTCAAATATAAGGCTTGCGTTTCATTTTTTTCACATTAAAATTCGCCAGATTGGTTACGGTGCCTTTGAGACCCTATGGTAGCCCGAGAATGAAAATTACCCCTATGATGGCATACCATTTGCAATAGTAGACAACCCAAGGTATTGCAAATGGGGTATGTCCAGTCTTTTTTAGTAGCCACTTAGTCACAAACACTGGCCAAAATTGGTGTTTTTTGCATTTTTCACACACACAAACAAATACTAACACTAACTTTGGCCAGTGTTTGTGACCAAATGGCTACTAAAAAAGACTGGACATACCCCATTTGCAATACCTTGGGTTGTCTACTATTGCAAATGGTATGCCATTATGGGTGTAAATTTCATTCCTGGCTACTATAAAGTCCCAAAGGCAACGTAATCAATCTGGCGAATTTCAATTTCAAATGTAATGTGCTATATTTGACCCTGTAACTTCCCAAAACGCCATAAAACCTGTACATAGGGGGTACTGTTTTACACGCGAGACTTTGCTGAATACAAATATGTGTATTTTATTGCAGTAAAAGCAAACAGTATTATGACATTGACAGTTAAAATGTCATGTAGAACTAAAAAAATAAATCTTATTTTCTCCCATTTTTTTCATATTAAATGGTTTCATAGCTAAATATTTGATATTAAATGAAAGCCCTGTTTCCCCTCAATAAAATTATATATAATAAGGGTGGGTGCACTTATTATGAAATAGGTGAATTACGGTTGGACAGACATGTAGCGCAAATGCCAGGTTTTGTTTACATTTTGTTTCGTTCACGTGTACATTTGGCTCAGTCCTTAAGGGGTTAAAACCATAGTCTTCAAAACAGAACCAGCTCCATTATAGCCAGTATGAGTGCTTGCTCTGTTCACACTGTTTGCAAAATTTGTGGAATTAGGCTCAACAGAGGAAATATGTATGCAAGGCTGAAGTTTCACTTGATTGAAAGACCATCCAGAACAAGAGGCAAATGTTTGTACCTTAGCATTTGACCTTCACGCCATGAGATCTATGACAGACTGAATATTTTCACCAGCTGATAAAAAAAAAAACAGATTCAGAGACAATTCGTTCTGGGACCATATTGATCTGCTTAGATCATCTGCATTGATGTTGTGTATTCCTCGTATAAGAGTAGCGGATAGGTCTTCTAGATGACTGAGCCCATGACATAACGTGAGTGCATCCTTATACCTCCTTGTTTGTTCAGGCATGTAACTGTAGTCTGGTTGTCTGACTATTTTTACTGCTTTCCCCACAATGAGAGTTTTGAACTGATGAAGAGCATACAAAACGGTTATTAACTCCTTGAAGTTTGAGGATTCCCCTCTTTCTTCTGCGGACCATGTCCCTTGCCTCATAAGACACTGCAGGTGCGCTCCCCAACTTATATTTGAAACGTCTATGGTGATTATGACCCATTCTTTTGGTCAAAAAAGATAGCCCTTTTAAAAGGAAACTGGTTGTCTTCCACCAACTCAGCTGTCTTTTTACAGGATCTGAAATGTTTATCAAAGTATCCAAGTCTTCTTTCTTGGACCACTTTGTAAGAATCTCCCACTGCAAAGGTCTAGATTCTAGACTCTGGCCCATTTTACTGCTGGTATAGTGGAAGTGAGGTGTCCCAACACCTACATAGCTTCTTTATTGAGTATTTCAGTTCCTTCTGAAGCACTCTTAACTTTTCACCACAGTCAGGTGGATTGCAAGATTGTCTGACTATTTAAAAAACCTAGAAAATGAATGGACTTTGTAAGATGCAGATGTAATTTTGAGGTTTACCACCATGTTCTTCTAGGATTCTGTAAGCCACATCTTTTAACAGAGCGTCTAAGTAGGGAATAACTGATTCCTTGTTTCCATAGGAGCGATGTGATAGGCGTTAGTACTTTGTAAATATCCTTGGTGCTGAGGAAAGACCAAGTGGAAGGGCTCTGAATCTAAAGCGATGAACCCTGAAGCCCTTCTTATGGCAAACCACAGGTATTGTCTTGAGCCTACTTGCATAGGTATGTGTTGGTAGGCACCTTTCAAATCCAATGTTGCCATAAAATCTCCTTTTTGATGGGTATGCGTGACTGAAGTGATTGTTTCCATTTTGAAATGTTGATATGGAATCTTGTTGTTTAATATCTTTAGATCTAGCATAGAATGAAAGGACATATCTGGTGTTGGGACCAGGAACAACCGAGAGTAAACACCCTGATCTTACTGTGCTCTTGGAACTCTTTTGATAACACCTTTCTTTAATAGTGTAATCAAAGCAGAAAAGAGAGCTTTATTTTATTTAGCTTTGATCAGTAAGATAAGGAAATCTGGTCTTGAGAAATTAAGAATGTTATTTTAATCTCTTGCAACCAGATTCAGAATCCACAGACTTACAGTGGACTCTCTCCATCTGTGAAAAAAATTGGTGTATCCTTCCGTCAGAATCTTTTTGTTCTGTCAGTTTTGATGTCTTTATGTGCATCAAGCCTTGGAGACGAAAAGAACCTGGGTTTTTCTTGATACCCTCTGCGGTTCTTGTATCTGGGCTTCCAGGAATACTTCCTATCCTGAGGAAATGCCTTCTTGGTTTCTGACATTTGTCAGATTAATTCTTCCAGAGGAGATCTACATAATTTCTTCCTCTCCAAAGGAAGTTCACAAAGAGCAGACTTCAAGACTGTGTCCATCCAGGTTTTAAGAGACAGTGTCCTGCAGGCCACAGAGGCCAAGCCCATAACACGAGCATCCATGCGGTCAGTAGAATCTACACAGCTTAAATAGACACCATTTGTAAAATTCGGTGGAACACATCACCTCCCGGGCGTGCGTTCCAACGCTGTGCGCATGCGTCTTGCTCGGGCAGCGATTTGCTGCTACTAAAGACCTCCTACTTGCTTTGCCAGTGACCGCACTCGAGATAAAGCAAGATGCTTATACCTGCTCCATAATGCTGCAGGTTGAAGACCGGACACTCTGCTCTCCACTGAGGAGGCCATCAGACTGGATCTCCCTGGCAGCAACCCATGTGCCTCACTGAAATATTCCAGAGGGTCCATGGCAGGTTGGTGTCTTATACCTGTTCGGGGAGGGAACTTATGTTAATTTTAATTTCAGATGCTTGTCCTAGAGAAGAGTACATCCCTATTGTACTGCCACGATATGTCAGGAAAATCATTTTATATTACAGCCATCCAAGTACTGTGATTTACAAATATCAGCACACTCACTCATCTATAAACTAACTTCAAAGTCCACAAAATATAGTTTTTTTTAAAAAAAAGCCTGATTCAGGAAAGAAATTAATTAAGTTACAGTATATGACTGTACACTGCATAAGCCTGACAACACCAATGTAACCCATTTTGGCAGGACCTACTCAAGCAACCTAATGCCTGCTCTTATGAGAAACCTTGGAAACTGCATCACTCTGAGGCTCTCTGCAGTGTAAGCTTAAATACCGTCCTGGAATGAGGAACCTGTGACTGAAAACTTAGCAACACCAAGGGATTTAGTCAGGGGTGCCAAATATATTTACTCATATGAAACATGAGGTTCAGTCACCTAAACATGCAGGCTGTATTATTATTTATAAAGCGCCAACAAGTTCTGTAATGCTGTACAATGGGTGGATTGAGAGCTCTTCTCAATAAGCTTACATGCTAGAGGGAGTTGGGTATAGTGACACAAAAGATAATGGAAGAAAAGTAGGTTGCTAGGATAGTATTAATTGAGGGCTCAGTGTTTTGATGACAGTTTCAGGAGAGGAATTGGGGTGCAGGAAGGGAAAGCTGTTCACAGTTTAATTGATATGCTTTCCTAAGGTGAGCATCAGAGGTAGGAGTACGTACAGAGTTTAGATGTAGGTCTCCGATAGAGCGTAGGGGCCTAGACGGGACAGATTTGTGTATTAGTGAGCATAAGTAGGTGGGAGCAGCATTCTGCAGAGATTTGTAAGCAAGTGCCAGGCTTGAAAAAGCCCATTGTGGGTGAAACATGTTGTGGACTAATTTTATCATTAATATAAGTTTTTGGTAACTTTTACTACCACTATTAGTACCATATACCTTTTTTTCCTGGCATCCAGTTTTTATCTTTCCAGTGAGTACCTCACAAAGTATCCCTGGTGGGGATTATACCACCCATGCTAATTATACTGAGCAGGTTATCTGCTCAGATAAATGTGAGTATGTATTCTTACATTTTATACAGAGAGCACTAGTTTTGCACCCCTTGCTTTTATTTTTCACATACTACCTGCCGACAAGAAACATACCGGCCAATACCTTCCACCATATCCCTGAAGTAGATTGGGGAGAAATAAATCTACTGCAAGAGCTTCACACTAGAGCTGGTTTTTGCTCTCTCTCATGTGAGTAGGCCATTTTAGATTTCCTTTTATTGGAGTTATTATATTTTATAGATATTGCACTATTGGTACTCTTTTTCCCTTTTATGTCCCTGGACATCGATTACCTGGACGGCATATTTACCTGAAGATACAGGCAAACTTTTATAGACTTACTCACACGTATCTCACCCTGGACTTTTGGCTTGTTCTGTTTTATGTATATACGATTTTATATCACATTATTGACAGTGTATTATCTGTTTTTCCATTTGTCTTATTGAGTAACACCTTGATCCCTAACCCCCTGGAGCACCCTATTGCTCTGTATTATCATTTGTTCTTTTGCGTTTTTAGGAGAGACTTACCTGCCATCCATACCCTCAACTTAGCACTTAGTAACTCAAAGCCCTTCCCCCCCAATGCTAATGTACCACAATGCCAGCAGACCCAGGACAGACATGTTAAACCCACAATAACTCAGAGCTGACACAACATGGACTATAACAGCGCTGCATGGCTCACTGACGGCCACTCACTCACTGTAAGACACAGCCGGGTACCTACCGACCGATCCACTTACCGTGATTGTTCCACATTTCGAGCCGCTCTAGTCACACAAGTCAAGCTGCTGCGCAACGCACACTATCTCTTGGCGCGAGAAACACCGCGAGCCAATCAATACCCGGCCCCCAATCACCAATGAACAGCAAGGACCTGCGGCGCGCCAACTTCCTCTGGCCAATCAGAAGACGCAGAGGCCTTCCAATGCTGGTGGCGCGCATTCGTGACTCACAGGTGGAAATCGTGACGGCCATGTTTGATAAGGGCATGGATTTTATATAGTATGATTTTTTTAATTTTTTTTTTTTTAATATTCTTTCTTTTTTCATTTTTTATTGGCTTTTACTGTAATGAAGACAATGATTTGATGTGTGTAGTTCCCCATGCATTGCTAATCAATTGTGTGAAGCATAACCATATAAAGAAGCAGTGCAACAACTATTATGGAGGTAGGCTACCTCCAAGATGTCACTGATTCAGTGTTTTGATACATCTGATATTCCTGTCAAACAGCTGCTGAGCTGTTCAAGACCTTAAAGCACATTCTGAGTACTCCCTGCTGTATAAGGCTATTCCAGGGCACCCCCACCCTTAATATAGCTCCTCAGCAGCACTGGTTGGCAGTCTTTAACCCCTTAAGGACCAAACTTCTGGAAGAAAAAGGGAATCATGACATGTCACACATGTCATGTGTCCTTAAGGGGTTAATGGGACACTCAAGGCAACTAAAGCATTTTAGCTTGATGAAATACTTTATGTGTGAAGAATGTATCCTATTTTTTAATTTTGCAAAAAGAGCAGATTTCAATAGAAATTAAAACTTTTATAAATTAACCTGGTTACACCCCCCTGGCTTTCAATCAATCGGTTCTGTTACTTCCTGGTTTGGTTGCAACTGCCTTGCAAAGATTTCTCATTGAGCTGCATTGGGAAGTCTGTGATTGGACAGTCACAGAAAGTCTGGGCGGGGTTAGAAGGGGAGGGATGGTAAAGTCTGCATACAAAAGATCTGCAGTTTTTTAAAGCTGTTTTAGATATACTCCAGTGTAAAAATGCATAATTAAATGCATGCATGTTTTCATTTGGGGTATATCTACTAAAACCCTGCAGGACTTGCCATAAGCAGAGGTAGCATTTACTGGATGATCGCTTCCCACCCACCCTACCCCACACCCCACCGTCCCCATGGTAATCATTACATTTATAGATAGCTTAAATTACCTACCTTACCTGTTAAACCAATTATGTTAGCCTCTGTCCACCAAGCCCTCCACACCTAAAATAGCTATACTCACACAATACCCCTTTAACCATTAACCCTCCTAACCACAGCTCTTAAAAATACAGCACCTACTCTCCTACTAATGTTCTCACTTCTATTTTTCACTTTCTCTCTCACTTCCCTCATCATTAAAATCTCTCTGTCATTTTACTTACCTGTTCCTGCTAACACCATCTTCATTGCTCCCTCTCTGCTCCCCTCATCTCTGTATTCATCACACGCACTTTATTCATATTTATCCAACCTTTCTCCACAAACCCCTCCTAAATACCCTAAATACAAGCTCTCATCCTCAACATTTAAATCTTACTCCCACCTTCTCTTCCTTTCCATCCTACTACTCCTAGCAGCAGGTGATGTCTCTCCAAACCCTGGTCCCTCCACTACTCAGCCACCTGGTACAAACACCAGAAACCACAACAACCTAATACCCATTCCATGTAATTCTCACTATAATTCCTCTTTTAAAGCTGCCCTCTGGAATGCACGCTCTGTGTGCAGCACCTTTAAATCTACTTCCATCCATGACCTATTTATCTCACACTCCCTAAACCTACTTGCACTAACAGAAACATGGCTCTCTCCCTCTGATACTGCTACACCTGCCTCACTGTCTTTTGGTGGTCTTCACTTTACCCACAATCCAAGACAAACAGAGATTAAAGGTGGCGGTGTAGGTTTTCTTCTCTCACCCCACTGCTCCTTTAAAACCCTGTCCACCCCCCCTTCCCTCTCTTTCCCATCATTTGAAATTCATTCAATTCGCCTTTTCAAACCCTTCTCTGCTAACATTGCCGTAATCTATCGTCCCCCTGGTTCCCCTCTCCTCTTCCTTGACCACTTTGCTGCCTGGCTACCCTACTTCCTCTCTTCCAACATCCCATCCCTAATTCTTGGAGACTTCAATATTCCCGTTAACCCACCTTTAACCCCAGCAGCCTCTAAACTTCTTTCAATCACTTCCTCCCTTGGACTTTTGCAGTGGGCTAATTCTCCCACTCATGTAGCTGGCAATACCCTCGACCTTATTTTCTCTTATTCATGTACAATATCTAATATCTGCAACGCTCCATTTCCTCAGCCTAACCCCTCTCCACTCAGGAGGAACCTTAACTCTATTGACCTCCAGCAGCTGTCAGCTGACATTGATTCACAACTGCTATCCATCCCTTCCCTCTCCTGTCCCTCACTGGCCATCTCCACATACAACACTACCCTCACATCTGCCTTGAACGCTGCAGCCCCTCTCAAAACATGCACCTCGAGGAGGACACGTCCCCAACCTTGGCATAATAAATCAACACGCTATCTGCAGAGTTGCTCCCGTTGTGCTGAACGCTCCTGGAGGAAGTCCCGCACCCAGGCAGACTTTCTCCATTATAGATTCATGTTGCTTTCATACAGCGCAGCCCTCGCCCTCGCCAAACAGTCATACTTTTCCTCTCTCATTAGTTCATGCTCCCGCAATCCCAGACGTCTCTTTGACACCTTTAATTCCTTTCTCCGCCCTGCTGTGGCCACCCCCCAAACTAACCTTACAGCTGATAGCTTTGCATGCTACTTTACCGACAAGATTGAACAGCTAAGGAAACAATTCTCCCCTCCTTGCCGTTCTCTTTCTCAACCACATGTAAATCTTGCTTTCCCTACCCTCCAGACTTTCTACCGGCTACTGAACAAGAGGTGGCTGCGCTTCTCCATTCCTCTCGCCCCACCACTTGCCCGCTCGATCCTGTCCCATCTCACCTCATCAGATCTCTCTCCCCTTGTCTTGTGCCTACCCTAACACACATCTTTAACTGCTCTCTCTCTTCTGGCACTGTTCCTGCTGACCTTAAACATGCCACTGTAATACCTATCCTGAAAAAACCATCTCTTGACCCATCCTCCCCTTCTAACTATCGTCCCATATCCCTGCTCCCTTTCTCATCAAAGCTTTTGGAAAGACTTGTCTTTACCCATGTGTCCCACTTCCTTAATTCCAACTCTCTCCTTGACCCTCTTCAGTCTGGCTTCCGCCCTCTCCACTCTACTGAGACTGCTCTTATCAAAGTGACTAATGACCTAATCTCCGCTAAATCCAAAGGTCACTACTCCATATTAATTCTTCTTGACCTCTCTGCTGCCTTTGACACCGTTGATCATGCTCTCCTCCTTCAAACTCTTCAATCGCTCGGTCTCTGTGACTCTGTCCTCTCTTGGTTTTCCTCCTATCTCTCCCAACGCTCATTCAGTGTCTCCTTTTCCAAGGATACCTCCTCCCCTCGTCCTGTCTCAGTTGGAGTTCCCCAAGGGTCTGTCCTTGGTCCCCTTCTATTTTCTCTTTATACTGCCTCTCTTGGTAAACTTATTGCCTCTTTTGAATTCCACTACCACCTGTACGCTGATGACACTCAGATATACCTCTCCTCCCCGGACCTCTCCCCTGCCGTCCTGCAACGTGTCACTGCTTGCCTTTCTTCCATCTCTGTCTGGATGTCCTCACGCTTTCTAAAACTTAACCTCTCTAAAACTGAACTCCTTGTCTTTCCTCCTCCTAATACTGATCCTCCTCTCTCGCTCTCCCTTCAACTCAGTGATATCCACATAAGTCCATCCCTGCAAGCGCGCTGTCTTGGCGTCATACTTAACTCTGGTCTCACCTTTGAGCCTCACATCCAGTTTGTTGCCAAGTCCTGTAGGTTCCAACTCAAAAACATAGCCCGCATTCGCCCCTTTCTTACGCAAGATGCTACCAAGGAGCTTGTCCATGCTCTAGTAATTTCCCGCATGGATTACTGTAACCTTCTCCTGATTGGTCTCCCCAAAAGCTGTATTGCCCCGCTACAGTCTGTCATGAATGCTGCAGCTAGACTGATCTTCCTCTCTAGTCGGTCCTCCCACACCTCACCCCTCTGCCAGTCCTTACATTGGCTCCCTGTATGCTATAGGAGTCAATTCAAAGTGCTAACC